TACACTGGTATCATCCGCAAAGAGAATAGGGGTGGAAACCTTATTTAGGATTAACGGAAGATCATTGATATAAACTAGAAAAAGCAAGGGCCCAAGAATGGAACCCTGGGGGACTCCATGAGAAATTTCACCCCAGTTGGAATAAGTACTTGAGCTAGAATGTTTTGATTGTAATCTTATTCTTTGAAACCTACCATTCAAATAAGATGCTATTAATTTGTGAAGTGGGCCAGATATACCATAAAATTCCAATTTAGATAACAATATCCCATGGTTAACACAATCGAAAGCTTTTTCCAGATCGCAAAATAATCCTCCCACACTATGCCCATCATTAAGGGCTTGGATTATCTGATTCAGTAATTTGAAGGTAGCTTTATCGGTTGATGAATTTGGCCTAAATCCAAATTGTTCGTTTACTAATATGTTATTATTGACCAAATGATTACTAAGTCTACTATAGATTACCTTCTCAAATATTTTTGAGAAGGAGGTCAATAATGATATTGGTCTATAATTACTAATACAATTGCTGTTACCCTTTTTATATATGGGTTTTATTTCTGAGAATTTAAGACGATCTGGAAAAATACCAGTTGATAAGGATCTATGTTGTTGATGTGTGCAATCGGTATACAAAAGTGAGTGTAATATATTTTGCATTGTTTATTTCTTCATGTGCTGGAATAGGCATTTTAACCAATTTCTGGTTTGCTCACAATGGAAAGATGCAGAAATGCACCTAATAGCTTTGCCATGTCTGTCTGCTGGCACCTAACAATTGAAAAACTGCCAAATTAATTTCAATTAACTTTGATATTGGAGAGTTTTATGCAAACTTGTAGATGTAGTCTGGTTTTTGTTTGTTAGGCAGTAGGTGGTCAACTTTATAGTACAGCTGCTTTAAACCTCCCTGGAGAGGAAAAAACAGTAGTATCAATTAGGTACAAAAATGTGTAAGCATCAGAGCTCTTTTGAATTTGAAGACAAAGAAGAAAGTCTAAGTGACTCTAGTGGGTTTCCTTACTGACTGATATGTCATGCAAAACAATTTTTGTTACAAAGTATACTTGTTACAATATTAAGATCATTATCAGACTGCAGATGGTGAACAAACATCAGAAGGATTTAGAGTTGGTCAGTATGATGAATGTACCATTATCTTGATTTACAGTACACTATTTTTATTTTTTTTCACATCTAAGAGTAATGTGCAGATACATCACTATACTCCAATATCTATTCATGTTCAATGGCCTTGAGGAACTTTATTTTAGTTCTGCATCTCAGCATATTGGAATAGTATCCACCATTTACCCCATAACGTACTGACACGCAGTCACAAATGACACCAGTTTTGTAATCCATTGCAGTGCTCATGTGCCACTGATTCATCTCTCAGGAAACCTTCCATGCCACTGTACTACTGGATGTATAAGTTTATGTTGTACATGTCAAGAACTACTTCACTTTAAAAAAGCTCAGCAGCAAACATGGGGTGAAGATTACGGTCTTCTGGGATGTGACATCACGTAGTTTCGTAGAAAGTTACCAATGTTTTGAAGGAACCTACTGCCTCTATGGTGATGGTCACTACCTAATCTTCCATTCACCACATATTTTTTCCATTATGGTTTCCTTTACAGTGTAAATTAAGCATTCATAAAATTGTCTCAATGGAATTGTTTATAATTATGCCTAAATAAGGGGACATGAGGGCTCAAAGCCAAACTGTGGAAAAGGCATTCATTTATAGGCTTCAGCAATCTAAACTGCTAGGCAATAACTCTGTAAACATGTCTCCTTCGCAACAGATATGCACACATATCTGTTAGCACATGCTATAGTGAACTGTAAAGTGTGAATTAGCAGTATTGCTTGTAATCATAAGAGTCAAATTGCATATCTAGTCACTTAACATATGACAATTTTATAGTTAATTGCCTACCCAGATATCCAGTGCAGCTGTTCATGTTTGTACATGTGTTCATGCACTGTGATACCAACTCAGGTTAAACAAATAAGAATGGAATAAGATACACGTACAAAGAAAGACATGAGACAGAAAAATATGAAAGTGTGGAAAAACCCTATAATACAAGGGTTGGAACTTTAATAGTGGCAACACTGCTGTAGAGACGCCATGCAACAGAACCAAATAATGTCGCTTATACCACACGTTAGTTACATACCTACCTTACCTCAGAGCAAATGGACATTCCCTTCTCACATCATGCACATGCGCAGTGACGAGAACAGAGCCTTGTGTTAGCTGGCGGTCTAATGTAGTATTGTTACGATGTTTTTGAAATAGGAACAGCGGAGTTGGATAAAGATTGAATGTTCCAGAGGCTGTACAGCACGACAGTGTCATCAAGATCTTCAAGAGGCTTGCAGGGAATCTGCACTGCCTTACAGAACAGTGGCAAGGTGGGTAAAAGCCTTCAACGAGGGACGCCAAAATGTGGCAGGCATGTGTCGGCCAGATTGCCCTAGTGTCAGTGAAGAAGTAGTGTATGCTCTTTCCGTGTTACTGGAGAGTAATCGATGCCATACGATTCATGAGGTGGCCCGAGAGACAGGATTAGCACATACAACTGTGCTTCACATTTTGAAGAAATGCCTGGGCATGAGAAAAATTGCATCACGATGGGTTCAGCATGATTTAATGGAAATGCAGAAATGGCTACAATATGACACTGCTTGTAACCACTTGGAGAGCTACGAGTGCGAAGGAGAGGCTTTCTTACACCATATCATCATGCTGGATGAGACATGGGCCAAATTATACGAGCCACAAATGAAATGCCAATCAAACAAATGACATCATTACGGGTCACCACGAAAATCAAAAGTTTGTCAGAACCCCAGCAATATGAAAGTTACGGTGATTCTCATGTACGACTGTGATGGTGTTATCCTAATGCTTACTGTTCCCCGACAGCAGACTGTCAGTGCACAGTATTACTGTTCATTTTTGGAACACAACCTGCGACCAGCTTTGAGAAAGAAGTGGTGACACTTTCTGCAGAATACACCCATCATTTTGCAGGACAGTGCTTGGCCACATGCAGCACAAGGTGTGGCTGATTTGTTCGATCGATGGGGCTAGGAAGTGCTGTACCATCCACCATACTCCCCAGACTTAAGCCCTTGTGACTTCGGCTTGATTCCTAAGATGAAGAAACCACTTTGTAGCATTCGCTTCATAACTGTTCCAGAGATTCTTCAGGCAGTAGACCACTCCATTCGAACTATCAACACAACAGGCACTGCTAAAGGTATCCTACGACTTCCACATTGCTGGCAACGGGTTGTACACAATGCTGGTGACTGCAGTG